TCCCTCCTGGTGTTGATCTCTCCCAGCTCCATGTTCCTTGTCTGATTTACTTTAGGATTGTCATTCGTATGAATGATTGGGATGAGAATATAGAAGGCATGGTTAGTAAGTTTGTGGACGACACCAAAATTAGTGGCATAGTAGACAATGAAGAAGGTTTTCTAAGATTACAGAGGGATCTTGATCAAATGGATCAATGGGCTGTAAAGTGGCAGATGAGGATAAAGGAGGTTTTGCATTTGGGTACAAAAACCGAGGCAGGATTTATACAATTAATTTGTAGGGTCTTGGATAGTGTTGTAGAACAGAGGGACCTATGGGTTCAGTTACCTAATTCTTTGAAGTTTGCATCATATATAGACAGGATAGTTAAGAAGGTGTTTAGAATGCTTGTCTTTATTACTCTGTCCTTTGAGTACAGGAGTTGGGAAGTCATGTTGAGGTTGTACAGGACATTGGTGAGGCCTCTTCTGGACTATTGTGTCCGGTTCTGGTCACCTAGTTATAGTAAGTGTATTATTAAACTGAAGAGGGTTCAGAAGAGATTTACCTGGTATGGAAGGTATGAGTTATAAAGAAAGGCTGGGTATGCTGGGACTTTTTTCACTGGAGCATAGGAGGTTGAGAGGTGACCTTATAGAAGTTTATCATGAGGGGAATAGATAGACTTAATGGTAGGTATCTTTTCCCCAGGATGGGAGATTTCAAGACTAGGGGGCATATTTTTAAACTGAGAGAAGAGAGATTTAAAAATGACAACAGGCAATTTTTTTTACACAGGGTGGTTCACATGTGAAATGAATTTCCTGAGGAAGTGGTGGATGTAGGCACAGTTACAATGTTTAAAAGACACTTAAAGAAATACATGAATAGGAAAGGTTTGGAGGGAAATGGGCCAGGAGCAGGCAGGCGGGACTAGTTTAGTTTGGGATTATGTTTAGCATGGACTGGTTGGACTAAAGGGTCTGTTTTCATGCTGTATCTCTGACTCTAGGTTCTTCTGTTGCTATTGACTCAGGTCTTGAGTTCCCTGCTGACTTCATAGTGTGGTCCAGGGTTCTTTTTAGTGGCAGGTGTCAGTCAGTGCGGGTATAGGCTTTAGCTGTTACCTACACTGATCAACCTCAGCCAGCAGATGGAGCTTGGTCAACCTAACAGTACTGTAGAGTGAAATGATTTATTAATTTTCAAAAATATTGCTTTGTGTTTCTTCTGTAGTAATATCTTAATTTTTTTTGTAGTGCAGAATGTCCAAAGGAACCTAACTCTGACATTGACATTGATCCCTCTGGGAAAGCATGATTCACTTCATGTTGTGATTTTCAGAGAGATAACCATAAATTAAAGTGAGGATTTGCAGTAATCATGTATGTCCCCAGTCATTGAATCTGTATATTGAATGCTTCGGTTCAACCCGGCAGCCAATTTGATGCCTAAATACTTGTGTTAATTAAATATTTCATGTACACATTATGGATCTTTACGATTATTAACTGACCCTTCTCTTAATGTCTATAATTAGTTTTATTGTCTTCTGTTCAGTTTAATAGAACTGTTATCACGCCATGTTACAAACAGTAGTTAAGAAGGTGTTTAGCATGCTTGCCTTTATTGCTTAGACCATTGAGTATAGAAGTTGGAACGTTGTGTTGAGGTTGTATAGGACATTGGTGAGGCCACTTCTGGAGCGCTGTGTGCAGTTCCAGTCGCCCTGCTATAGGAAGGATATTGGTAAATTGGAGAGTGTTCGGAAAAGATTTACCAGAATGTTGCCAGATTGGCGGGTTTGAGTTATAAGGAGAGGCTGGATTGGCTGGGACTTTTTTTCGCTGGAGCTTAGATGACTGATGGGTAATGTTGTAGAGGTTTATAAAATCATGAGGGCCATAGATAAGGTGAATAGCAAAGGTCTTATCCCTAGGGTGGGGGAGTTCAAAACACAGGGGGTGTATTTTTAAAGTGAAAGACGAAAGATTTAAAGGGGACCTGAGAGGCAAATTTTTCCACACAGAGGGTGGTTCATATGTGGAACGAACTACCAGAGGAAGTGTTTTTTATTCATTCACAGGATGAGGGCGTTGCTGGCTAGGCAGCATTTATTGCCCATCCGTAATTGCCCAGAGGGCAGCTAAGAGTCAACCACATTGATGAGGGTCTGGAGTCACATGTAGGCCAGACCAGGTAAGGATGGCAGTTTCCTTCCCTAAAAGACATTAGTGAACCAGATGGGTTTTTCCGACAATCGACAGTGGATTCATGGTCATCGTTAGAATCTTAATTCCAGATATTTATTGAATTCAAATTCCACCATCTGCCGTGACGGGATTCGAATCTGGGTCTCCAGGACATTATCTGGGTCTCTGGATTAACAGTCCAGCGATAATACCACTAGGCCATTGCCTCCCCTATTGGTAGATGCAGGTCCAGTTACAAAATTTAAAAGATATTTGGACACCGGTAAATGAATAGGAAAGGTTTAGAAGGATATGGGCCAACCACAGGCAAGGGGGACAAGTTTAGTTTGAGAATCTTGGTCGGCGTGGACAAGTTGGGCTGAAGGGTCTGTTTCTGTGCTGTGTGACTCTATGACTAAACATCGTCTCTAATTGTATGTCATTTACATTGTTATTCCTGATGATACCCCCAAGTACCATCTCATCAGAATAACTCAAGATTTTGATGTTGGTGTGCTTTTGTCAGAGTTGTACAGCATGGAAGCAGACTCTTTGGTTCAACTCGTCCGTGCTGACCAGATATTCTAAATTAATCTAGTCCCATTTGGCCCATATCCCTCTAAACCTTTCTTACTCATGTACCCATCCCAGATGCCTTTTAAATGTTGTAATTGTACTGACCTTCTCCACTTCCTCTGGCAGCTCATTCCATACATGCACCACCCTCTGTGGAAAAAGTTGCAGTCGGTCACTTTTAAATCTTTCGCCTCTCACCTTAAACCTATGTCCTCCAGCTTTGGTCTCCCCTACCCTGAGACAAAGTCTGGGACTATTCACTCTATACCATGCCCCTTGTGTTTTTATAAACCTCTGTAAGGTCATCTCTCAGCCTCCAACGCTCCAGGGAATAAAGCCCCAGCCTATTCAGCCTCTCCCTATTAGCTCAAACCCTCCAACCCCGGCAACATCCTCATAAATCATTTCTGAACCCTTTCAAGTTAAACAGCACTTTTCCTATAGCAGGGAGACCAGAATTGAACGCAGTATTCCTAACCAATGTCCTGTACATCTGCAATATGGCATCCCATTCCTGTACTTAATGCACTAACCAATTAAGGCAAGCATGCCAAATGCAGCCTTCACTACCCAGTCTACCTGGGAATCCACTTTCAAGGAACTATGAACTTACACCCCAAGGTCTCTTTGTTCAACAACAATCCCCAGGACCTTACCATTAAGTGTATAAGACCTGCCCTGATTTGCCTTTCCAAAATGCCACACCTCACATTTATCTAAATTAAACTCCTTCTGCTACTCTTTGGCCCATTGGCCCATCTGATCAAGGTCCTGTTGTATTCTGAGATAGCATTCTTCAGTATCCACGACACCACTGATTTTGGTGTCATCTGCAAACTTACTAACCGTACCTCCAATGTTCACATCCAAATCATTTATATAAATGATGAAAAGCAGTGGACCTAGCGCACCGCTGGTCACAGGTCTCCAGTCTGAAAGCAACCCTTTACCACCAATCTCTGTCTCCTACCTTCAAGCCAATTTTATATCCAATTGGCTAGTTCCCCTAGATCCCATGTGATGTAACCTTACTAACCAGTCTACCATGTGGAACCTTGTCAAACGCTTTGCTGAAGTCCAAATAGATCATGTCCATCACTCTGCCTTCATTAATCTTCTTTGTCACTTCTTCAAAAAACTCAATCAAGTTAGAGAAACATGATTTCCCATGCACAAAGTTATGTTGACGATTCCTAATGAGTCCTTGCCTTTCCAAATGCATGTAAATCCTGTCCCTCGGAATCCCGTCCAACAGCTTACCCACCACTGACGTCAGGTTCACCGGTCTATAGTTCTCTGGCCTTTCCGTATCACCTTTCTTAAATAGTGGCATCACATTAGCCACCGTCCAGTCTTCCGGCACCTTGCCTGTGGCTATCGATGATGCAAATATCTCAGCACGGGGCCCAGCAATCACTTCCGTAGCTTCGCACAAAATTCTGGAATACACCTGATCAGGTTTTGGGGATTTATCCACGTTTATTCATTTTAAGACATTTAGCATTTCCTGCTCTGTAAAATGAACACTTCTCAAGATGTCACTATTTATTTTTCCAAGTTCTCTAGCTTCCATATCCTTCTCTACTGTAAATACTGCTGTGAAATAGTCATTTGGTATCTCGCCCATATCCAGCAGTTCTACACATAGAAAACTTGCTGATCTTTCAGGAACCCGATTCTCTCCCTATGTACTCTTTTGTCCTTAGTGTATTTATAGAATCTCTGGATTCTTGTTAACCCTATTTGCCAAAGCTATTTCCAGTCCCCTTTTTGCTTTCCTGATTCTCTTCTTAAGTATATTCCTACTGCCCTTGTACTCTTCCAGGGATTCACTCAGTCCTAGCTATCTATACCTGACGTATGCCTCCTCCTTTTTTCTTTGTTGGCAATCGTTTGTATAGAGGATAAAAGGTACATGGCCATGCAGTATTCATTAACATAGGTCTGAGTAAATCCGTTGGATTGTATTTTGCCTCTGTCAAAGTCAGAAACCTTCTTGAGCATCGCCATGCTCACATTTTTATGCTAACCACTTGAAATTCCCTGATCTCTCCTTTTATGCTCCTTTTATTGAACACCAGTATCCCAGGTTGATTAATTTTATTGCTAGTGACACATTCATTGATTATCTTGTCAAAAGTACAACATTAAATTGTAAGCTGATGAAAGAAAATTCAAGTTTTGATCAATTAAAGTAGTAATTTCTGTTGACATCTTTCCCTCTTGATTTTCCTTTCTTGCATTTTGCAGTGTAAGCATATTCTTGCTGTATATCTGTGTCAAGCCATGGGAGTGTCCCACCAGCTGAAAGTCTCAGACAAGCAACTCACCAGCTTTCTGCTGGCCAAGGATAAGGAACCTGGAGCCTCACCACATTAAAGGTCACCTTTCAATTTGGAGAAAGGAAAACTGCTAAGAGACGTTTTTACGTGATGTACAAGCCTACAGATTGGCCATTGATGTCCCCCAGTTACAAAGCTTGAGTCTGCTGTACAAAGACGACTAACTGCAAACAACAAGAAGCAGGCAAGCTTTTCAATGAAGAAGATAACACTTCGATTATTACAGTTGCTCGAATAATAGAAATGTCAGATGGAAGGAGACAGCATTGTTCCAAGCACTCTGGAAGAGGAAAAAGATGTTTCATTTCCAAACCCGTGTAACTTTTAGCCCCCAAGGTTGTGTGTTGCCAAAATAAAAACATCTGACAACGTCTTTGCTACATTGCTCCTTCGCGAGACTTCATCTGAGCTGATGCTTCAGCACAGCACTAAGGGAATCATGTCATCTCGCAAATTAAACACTTAGCCAAGGTCAGTGAAAAGTCCCATTTCATTAATTGAAGAAGAGCGGGAGCATTCTCCTGCCAAGAAATATTCACTTAAAGAACATCACCAAAGGCAGATCCTTATGCATTAATTTGCTTTGTTGATGGCACCTTCCTTGCAAATACTGGCTGCCACATTTGCCTCCAGTTCAAGTTAATTATTGGCTGCGTTGCAATTGGAGACCTATTGAGAATGTGAAAAAGCACTACAAAATACAGTTTTATTGTTTATTACTGCATTTTCAATGCATATTTTAGCAAATTTAGTTTATAAGCAATGATTTATTTTAAATGTTTCAATTGTGCATTCATCTACCAGACCACAGAACAAGTTTGGTCATTCAGTAGTTATCCATCTGTCTGCTTGTTATAGAGTCCTATAGGCATACAGCATAGAAACATGCCCTTTGCCCCACCATGTTTATAACAACCAGCAAACATCAAACTAATCCCATTTACCTGAACTTGATCCATAACTTATTATGCCTGGCATTTTAAGTGTTCATCCAAATGTTGTGAGAGTATGTGCCTCCACTACCCTCTCAGGCAGTACGTTCCATATATCTACAATATTTTGGGTGTAAAACATTTTCTCAGATCTCCCCTACCACTTACTACTCACCTTAAATGTATGGCCTGTGGTCTTTGACATGCCTGCCATGGGGAAGAGATTCTCACAATCTACCCTGTCTATGCCTCTTGTAATTTTAGACACCTCAATCAGATTTCTTCAGCCTCCTCTGCTCCAAAGAAAACAATCCAGCTTATCTAGTCATAACTGAGACTTTTCATCCCAGGCAGCATCCTGGTGATTCTGTGTTATATGTTCTAATCTCTGCACCCTCGCCATTGCAATTCCAACAATGTGACAACCAGAACCGCACACAGTATTACATCTTTGGCCTAACCAATATTTTATAAAGTTGTAACAAGACTTCCTTACTCCTATATTCTTTGCTCCAGCTGATGAAGGCAAGCATTCCATATGCCTTCTTTGCCACCCTGTCATGTGCTGACACTTTCAGAGATCTATGGACATGTACACTGAGGTGCCTTTGTTCCTCAGTACTCCCCAAGGACCTATCATTCATTGTGTATATGCTTCTCTTATTAGACCTCCCATCATCTCGCACTTATTGGAATTAAATTCCATCTGCCATTGCTGTGCCCAATTTACCAGTTGATCAATGTCAGACTATAGCCTAAGACCATCCTCAGTTTCAACAATACCCCCAGTTCTCATGTCATCTGCAGACTTGCAAATTAAACCTTCTATATTCACATTCAAGTCTTTAATGTAAATAACAATCAGCAAGGCTCCCAAAACCGAACCTTATGGTACAGCACTGGGTCACAGATTCTTCCAGTTACAAAAACATTCCTCCACCATCACCCTTCGCCACCTATTTAAAAGCCAGTTTTTGATCCAAGATAACAAGGTGTAGAGCTGGATCCAGTTTGCCAACAGACCTTACTGAAGCCCATGTAAACTACATCAACTGCAACACCCTCATCAATATATTTAGTCAGCTATTCAAAAACTACTCAAATTAGCCAGACAGGATCTCCTTCTAACAAATCCACACTGACTATCCCTGATCAATCCTTTCTTTTCCAAGAATTGATTAATCCTGTCCTTCAGAATTTTTCCAATAATTTCCCTACTACTGACCTTAGACTAACTGGTCTGTAATTTCCTGGCCTATCCAGGCTGCACTTCTTGAACAAAGGAACCACATTAGCTTCCTTCAGTTATCTGGCACTTCACCTGTGGCCAGTGAAGTATTAAATGTTTCTGCAGGGCTCCAGCACTCTCCTCCCTTGCCTCCCATAGCAGCCTCGGATGCACCTCATCATGCCCTGGGGTTTATGCACCTGTATGCGCACTAAAACATCTAATGCTCCTTATCATAACGTATTCTAGAACATCATCATCCCAAGCGAAATCCCCAGCTACAACATCTTTCTCCTCAGTGAGTACACTTGAGTATTTGTTTAAGACCTCACCCACATCCATGCACAGATTGCCCCTTTAGTCTCTAATAGGTCTCACTCTTTCCCTGGTAATCCTCTTACTCTTAATATACTAATAAAAAGCCTTGGGGTTTCCCTTGATCCCATTTGCCAAAGATATTTTGTGGCTCCTCTTCACCCTCCTAATTTCCTTTTTAAGCGACCTCCTACACTCTGTAATATTTTAATATTATATTCCTGTTTTTAATGCACTGTACCTTTCATATGCTTCCTCCTTTTTCGTTATCAGGCACTCTATCCCTTGGCATCCAGGGTTACCTGGACTTGCTGCCCTTTCTCTTCACTCTTAGGGGAACATGCTGACCCTGAATTCTCACTGTATTCCTTTTAAAAGACTCCCACTTTCCAAATGCAGACATACTTGCAAGTAGCTGCTCCCAGTCTATGTTTGTCAGATCCTGTCTAATGATATTGAAGCTTGGCGAGCCAACCAACCTCAACACCCACAACCTGAGCTACAAATCTACTCCAAAACCTTAATGATATTGAAATTTTTCCCCAATTTAGACACTTCTGCACTATCCTTATTCCATTCGATAATGACTTTGAAACTTACAGAGTTACGGTCACTATCTCCAAAATGCTTACTCACTTAAACTTCAACCCCTTGACTGGCTTCATTCCCTAGGATTAGGCTAGCACTGCCCCATCTCTACTAGGACCATCTATGTACTGGTGCAAAAAGCTCTCCTGGATGGACTTTAAAAATTACACCCCGTCTAATCCTTTCACACCAAGGCGAGCCCGGTTGATGTTAGCAAAGTTGAAGTCCCCTACAACACTAACCCTGTTCCTCCTGTGCATTTCTACATATCTGCCTACATATCAGCTCCTCTATCTCCCTTTGACTGTTGGGAGGTCTGCAATATAATCCCAGCAAGGTAATCGCCCTGCTTTATTTTTAAGTTTACCCAGATGGCCTCATTTGAAGATGCTTCTGTGATGTCCTCCCTTATTAATGCAGTGATGGTTTCCTTTATCAATAATAAGGGGAGGTAGTGGCCTACTCGTACTATCGCTGGATTGTTCATCCAGAGACTCAATGTTCTGGGGATGTGGATTCGAATCCCACCACGGCAGATGATTGAATTTGAATTCAATTTAAAAAAAATTCTGGAATCAAGAGTCTAATAATGACCATGAATCCATTGTCAATTGTCAGAAAAACCCATCTGGTTCACTAAGGTCCTTTGGGGAAGGAAACTACCATCCTTACCTGGTCTGACCTACATGTGAATCCAAACCCACAGCAATGTGGTTGACTCTTAACTGACCTTAGGACAATTAAGAATGGGCAATAAATGCTGGCCTAGCCAGTGATGCCCACATCCCATGAATGAATAAAAGAATTGCCCTGACCTCTCACATTACCCCCCCCGCCATTGCACCTGAAACTTCTCTACCCTGAATGTTGAGCTGCAAGTCTTGACCTTCCTTCAACCATGTCTCCATGATTGTAACAATATCATGATCCCATGTGTTATTCAACGCTCTTAAGTTCATCCACTTTACCAGTCTAGCTCCTTGTACTACTTTAGCTTTCTGACTCCTCGTATCTTATCCTGCCCATATCGTCTCTGCCTGCTGGACTGTCCTAGCATTCCTTTTATATCTGATTGGACCTTGCAACTGATTTTGCATCCGTATCTACCTGCCAAATTAGATTAAAACCTCGCCAATAGCACAAGCAAACCTCCCAACAAGGATATTGGATCCATTCTGGTTCAGGTGCAACCCAATCAGCTTGTACAGGTCTCATCTCCCCCAGAAACTGTCCCAGTGATCCAAAAGTCTAAAGCATTCCCTCCTACACTATCCCTCTAGCCATGCATACATCTGACCTATCTTCCTATTCCTATTCTCAGTAGGGTTGGAAATAATCCAGAGATTAGAACCTTAGTAGTCTTCTTCTTTAATCTACTGCCTAACTCTCTAAATTCATGTTGCAGGACTTTTTTTTAATGCATGTCATTGGTATAGACATTTACCATGACAGCTGGCTGTTCACCCTTCCACTTCAGAATACCCTGTCGCTGCTCCGTGACCCTAGCACCAGGGAGACAGCATACCATTCAAGAGTTTTGTTTGCTTCCACAGAACCGCCTTTCAATTTCGCTGCTGTGCAACAGGGCCAGCCATGGTGCCACAGACTTGGCTAATGCAGCTTTCCCCTGAGAAGCCATTTCCCTCTCCCCTAACTATATCCAACTGTCTATCTGTTTGCGAGGGGTATAGCCACAGTGGAGTCCTGCAGTGCTTGCCCATGCTTTACCAGTGGTCACTCAACTCTTTTTCTGTCTCTGTAGTCTTTATTGGTGGTGTGACCAGCTCACTATCCACAATGTTCTCAGCCTCATGGATGCTCCATGTGAGTCCATCCATGGCTCCAGGCGCTCAGTCAGGAGTTGCAGCTGAACTCACTTCCTGCACACGTAGTCACCATGGAGACCGGAAATGTCCCTGATTTCCCACTTTTTGCAGGAGAAGCATTCCATGGGTTCTCCTGCCATTTAAACCTTATCGACTACAAACAATAAACTAGGAACCAATTACTCAACTCTGCCCACAACGCCCTCTCTCCTCAATTCTTAACCTGAGGAAGGAGCAACACTCCAAAAGCTAGTGTGTTCAAATAAATCTGTTGACTATAGCCTGGGATCTTGTCCAACTCAGTTCAACACTGGCACTTCCACATAAATTCTTAACGAACTTGTTGACTATGACTCTGCAGGAACCCTCCTATACAGCATGGAAACAATGATTGAGTCAACCAGTTACATGCAGTGAACATGCTGTCATGGTCACATACTGTTGTGGTCCTGGCTCTTCCAGATGACCATGAGTCCTAAAGATA